AAAAAGCAAGGGTTCATAAATAGTTTCACAATAAAGCATTTGGTATTTTTAGTATTGCTTTTATCTTCAATGCTATGGCTCTATGACGACTTCACAAACAAGGTAAATGAGAGTAAATATAGCAATGAATGGACACACTCCTACACACATGTACCTTCAAATCAAAAGTTAATATTCTGGAAGAATTTGAGGCTGGTTTTCCCCGTTAACACCTAATAAAATGAACAAATGGAAACACACACAAATGGATGCATATTCCGAATGGGAAACTGAAACCGCTGCAAAATTGTGAGATATTTTAGACATTTACACTACAAACAATCCAAATGGATTATCAGCAGCATTTTCTTAACTGAGCATTCTGCATTGCCTTGCCTGACACGTCATGTATGAACACATTATGCTGATTGTATGAGGGTTGAACCTCTAAAAAACTGTGAGAAAAGCGTTGGGATAAAATCCTTCTGTGTTGAAAATCACAAGCCCATTCTACTGAGCGAGACAACGTTCAGTTTCAGCTGCAGAAAAAGGGACGGAGAGTGGATGACGATGACGTCAAGCCCGGGAGCTCAGACGTTTTCTTTTATCAGCTTCCTGTTTACCTTCTTCTCTGTCTGCTTCTGTCAGCAGGAGTGCTGGGAAACACCTTCCACCCAGTTCTCTGGGAGAGGCAGGGGGGGGGCCCAGCGGTCAATGTCAACAGCAGGACCTGTTGAAACCAGACCCCTCACCAGGCCTTTTAAGGACAGGCTTCCATCTCTGAGCGAAAGCAGAGGGTTGGAGGGAAGGAGGGTGTGTGTGTGTGTGTGGGGGGGGGGGGGGTTAGAAACAGAAAGGCTAATGATTAAATGGGGGGGGAGGGACAGGACAAAGGTACCCGTAAAAAAAAAAGGGGGAAAAACCAAGAAAACCCCCCCCCCCCCCCTCCCCCCAACCACCCCTCCGGCCCATGGTATGCGTCACCTTCAGGAAGACAGCCAGACCCAGACAGCCTTTCCACCTCAAACCCCCCTCAGCCCCCCCACACTCGTAACTCCTAAAGCAGGGGGTCTGTCTGGTCTGTAAAACGTGAATTGGACCGACTCTGGTTTCTTACAGACACAAACCACTAAGCACTTTCACTTTCTGTGTGGACAGAAAGTTGAAAAGTTGGATATTTCGCACATTATTGCCTCATTTGGTATTTAAATTGCCTTTGTAGTTCTTGGTAATGATTTCAAGAGGTTTCTATGGTGATTATAAACAATGCCGTGAAAAGCGGAAGTGGAGTGAAACGGCACTTCGGGACCACGATGTGACTTCCAGATAACCGCAATCAACAGACCTGAAATACAGTGTTACTGTTACTAAGACAACAGAGTCCTTCCTTTAACCATTTAGTGTGTGGGTGAAAACTGCTGAAAAAGTACACAGTAGTACAGTGCTGTCGTCACTCTACAGCCCTTCCCCTCTTTCACCCATTGGCCATATTGGGTATGGTAAGAAAGGAAAACGATTGGCTAAAGATGTCGTACCACACTGCCGTCACATAAGCTCACTCATCAGGTTCTAAAATGGGTAAATTACGTCGAGTTGTGCTGCTATATTTGGTGTTAACATAAACACCGCTGGTTCTCAATGAAGCTCTTGATGCGGAGTTGGTGGTACAAACGTTTCATTCATCTACTTCTGCTCCACCCCTTGAGACAGAAAAGACCAACTTTAAAGTCAATGTCGATGCTAAAGTTCAAGGAAAGTTAACCAGCCTGAACGCGCTGAGGCGATGTTCATAAACTCACTGCTCTGCTCCTTAAGAGGAGTTTGTCTGTATGACTTTGGATTCTTATCAAAACAGTGTTCTGTGCAAGTTTGTTTACTTTTTAAATTTGTCACGCAAGGCACTTTTTGCCAAAATACATTCAAGTTAAACTTTCATTGGATACTGAAACATACTTTATATAAGGTTGGCCAAAGCTTTGTAAGCACTCTTTTCTATTTCTCATTAGATTATTATCTACCGACCAGTTCATGTTTATAGTCCTTTAGAAAGAGGAACCCGTTATTAGTGTACAAATGGGGATGGGGGACCGATAACTCTTCTATTTCTTTCCAGTGACGACCTACATCTACAATATGGCCTCAAACCTAACCTCAACTTTTTCCCACTATCTGAGTCAGCCAGTTCTCATATTCACGTGCTTCTATTTTAGGGATAATTTCCATCATCATAACAGACGGCAGGCCTCCATATTTGTGTCATTTTAATATGGAAAAAGAAAAAGGCTCAAGCGGAGCAGGATTGTGCTGTTCTAGTTGGACAAATGGAGAGTCAGTCTAAAGGGGTCTGATCCGCGAGCACCAGGATTTACTACTACTAAGATGTGGAAGTTACACCAGGTCCACATCTTGGATTGAAGTCGCCCGCTGTAGCTGCCAGGGTGTCTAAGAGGTGTCAGGTATATGTGGGTCATATAGCTGACACCCTGTAAATGGAGGTGTCTGAAAAAGGATTAATTAAAGACACGAGTGGATTTGTGCGTCCCTCTCTGGGAAGCCAGTCCAGGGTTCCACAGTTCCTGCTAGACATGACAACCTGCCAGGGGACGTGGCCTTCTACAGATGGTTGCCAGCAGCCAAAACCAGAGCTGGGCCGTTTATGAAGGTCATGAATGGCAGCTTCGATACATAAATAGCGCTGTGTTCTTTTTCCAGCTCAGGTGGGGACGTTTCAGATCACGAACACACACATTAACTCATATCCTTTCCTCGGGTGCGACTCCCTCATTTCAGAGGAAGTGGGCACCCATGATGGGACACACCCGCTCCCTGAAAGCAACACCTACATGTATTTTTCTGCTCAAGGAAAGTTACAAAGTAATACATCTCTTCAGCGCAGAGAGCAAAAACAGAACGAGGAGGGCTGAAATGAACTCGTGTTAGAAGACTGTGGTTTGAGTCATTTGACCTCTCACCGACTCTGTGTTTAGGTTATGCATCTGTGTTTTATTTTATTCACACATGAGCCAGAGTTCACTCAAAATCAATACATTTTTGTGCAGTTAATGAGCTGATCAAGTAGATAATGATATTATGTATGCAAGCCTTATTTCCTCTTTGCTTTGATTTAGCTGTAAAATTTGGTTTCATGCTGCACTAAATGCACTAAAGGGGTTTCCTGGACTTACTGCCAGTCAACCATGTGCGACGGACTAAATAGATATCTGAAACCTTACGCAGTGTCACTTTGTGACCTGTATTATGAGTGATTCTGAACATGGAAAATTAATGACCATTGCGGTGTCGCCCATAGCTCTAAAATCCTTAATAGAAAAATCTGTTTTTGTCCTCGAAAATCTGATTTTTCTATGAAAAAGCATTCAAATATATGTTCAAGCAATGGTCTAATTGTTGATTTAAAGAACTCTCAAGACAATAATTAACTATTTGCAAGCTCCCACTAAAAGTGAACCTTATCACAGATACAGATAAAAGACAACAATGCAAAAAAAACCTGAATATCAAAGCAATTCACCGCTTCCATCCTTTATCGCTTGGATCCGTTGAGACAGGACCTCTTTCAGCATTGCCTGACAATAATTAGTTCAACAGAAAGCACATCTCAGATTAACCATCATTTGTAAAGAATGTGTGTTTTAATTTTGCTTAAACAAAACGGCCGATGCAGCTGTCGGCCTTATAGCTGCACCTCTGCCCCGTGGAATCTTTAAAGCACAAAAAGTGAGCAAAATCTGTTGTGCATTAGTGACCATTTCATTTGGGCTAGAGGCAAAAGCTAATTTTAGAACGAGACTCGAGAAAAACAACAACAACTGCACATTTTACAAAACAAAAACATGTGCGATGATGTAACACCTGAAACCGAACTGAAACCGTCTAATTGCTATTGTGGGCAACTAGTTTGAGTTTTATTTTGATCCTTTCGGTAGAAGTTTTCTCCTTATGACAAAAAACAACAGTGCAAGAGTTACATGAAAAATTTGAGAAACAAAAAAAAAGGACAAATAAAGGAGGTACAGCAAAGAAAAAGAGGTGGCCCGGAGAATATCCACATATTTCCAACATTATTTAGAGAGGCCACCCTGTCGGCCGAAAAGAAAAATCTCTGTGGAAATATAACATCTCCAAAAGCTGTCTTTGGGCTTATTTCCTTCAGTAGGCAAACTCAGTGACGTGGGAAGAGGAGGAGAGGAAGGAGGGGTGAGGGATGAGGGGTGTACCAGACAGAAGCAAACAGAGAGAGCGGAAGAGAGAGAGAGAGAGAGAGAGAGAGAGAGAGAGAGAGAGAGAGAGAGAGAGAGAGAGAGAGAGAGAGAGAGGGAGGGAGAGGAGGGCTGGTCTGTCCTTCTCTGCTCCAGCTAGCCTTCTATCTTTGGCTGTACTCTCGCCCCAGCTGCTGCTGGTTCAAAGTACGGTCACTGGCAGCGAACCAGCGGGAGGGCTGCGAAAAAACACCCACGCAGCCACTTCACACACAGAGGGAAGCAAAAAGATGTCTTTGGAACGCACAAAAGCCCCAGAGTCAAGCCAAGTGTCACATAACTACCAGTGCTTCTAAGCTGCATTTGCATCGCGTTTTTCTGATTCAAACGGAAGGACGTCCACGTGTGCATGTATGTCTGTGAACGCATATATCTGGGTCTGCACGCGTTATTTGTATAGCTGGGTGGAGCTCGCTCTCCGTCGCTCGCTGCAGTATCAACCGTTAACACTATGAGACATCATGCTGGGTGCAGCTCGCAGCTGATGGATGTTCGTGTGAGCTTTTTGCACCCAAATGGCGGCAGTACTTTAGCATTGCTGAGGGGACTCGGCCGTGTCATAGCAGGAGTAATTGCTCAGGTCCCAAAGGAGCCAAAGTGTTGAGAGCGAAGCTGTTTGTGTGAACCATTCCTCAAGAAAGCTGCCAGTAGCAACACCGCAGGTTAAGCAAAACAGACCTTGCAAACAGGCCCGTCTTGAAGAGGCGCTGCACTGGTATGTTCAATGGGAGGAATGCCAGCGATAATGTTTATTCAGCCAGTTAAATAGCAAGCTCTGCAATGCCAGCTTCGTAGGATAGGATAGTTTGAAATGAATATCCAGATCTGCAGAAATGCCGGTTATTCCACAGAAACTTTCTGCCATCAAAAGTGTTCAATATGCAACTTATCCAACGTATTCAATGCGACAAAGATTGAGCCTTTTCGCGTCAAGATGACAGCCCAAGTAAGCACACGCACAAAAACATACACACCGTAAGACACATGGTGTGGTTGATAAGAGAGGGAAGCCTTGAATTATGCAGGCCTCAGTAGTCTTGTTTAACTAAAGTAAAAGTTAATTCAGTTAGGCAATAGTGGGCTGCAGCATTGGAGTCTCTTGGCACGTGTTACATTAGACCTCATCCCAAAAGTGTTAGCAATTAGAAGAAAAGTCCATTTAAAGCCCCTTTTATGATGATATATTCTCTTAGTTTGGCCAGATCCTAAGGTCATAAATATGCAACGCCTAAGAGTGTCGTTACCCACTACTAACGCTGTATATAAAGTGGTTGTGGGAATTATTTGGTTCCAAACTACCTGCACTTCCTGTACTGTATCCAGGTTGTTGGATGTGGGTACTGTGCATTTGTCCTCGTGCTTTATATTGTTTGTGTGTGTATTTCCCCACACAAACGTTGCCTGACACAGTCACTGCACGGGAACAGAGAGATATTTGTCAACCATCCAGAACCTTTACCTGGGGTCGAGTCGGATACACCCACACACACACACACACACACACAGAGTGAGAACATTTCCTTTTAAGGCCTGACTTGTTCTTGGAGAATTAACGTGACTGTGCCAGTGCTGCAACAGCTATTGCTTGCACTCACCTGACGTGTCTGCGTCATTGCTTGTTCTTCTTTGGAAGTATGGCGTGTAGAGGTGCGGCGCCTGTTACGCCTGTTATTTGAGGAGTGGGCCGTCGCCATTTTTGGGGGAGCGGCTATCCCGGATCTAATGAGAGATGAATCAACCAAAAAGAGAGCTGATATTGGCGCTGTATCAGGCGGGAGAGCTCTGTTTCCCGTGGCAACCATCTCTGGTGTGATCAGAGCAATAGCTAACCGGTTACTTACATCCAACCATAGGCTTGTCAATGGGCTTTTCCATGCCTTTCTTTAGACGTTGTTTGAAGCTAGTGGTTATATTTGGTAAATTTAGAGCCCGAATAAACAAAAGGTTTTCCTACAATAATCCAAAATAAATAAACTACACTAGTAAATGAAGTAGTTTTGCAATGGTAGTCTTTAATTCTAAAACACTGTGCATAATTTTTAAAGTCCACTTTTTCATTCATTCAGTCAATTTATTCATGGGTGTTTAACAGTAAATTGCTGTTATTGCCGGTTGATGATAAATCCGCCCGAGCTCATGTTGATTACCATAAAGATTTAACTAAAACGTACCTGCTCTGAACCATTATTAAGTTGAGGAGATGAGATGACATTTGCTATTTACACTTTGATATCATCCAATTTATACCACGTTGTCACATGTGAGGTGCTAATGTTGTAAAATGTGAAATGCAGTGCATTGATCGAGTTTCCCACAAAGCACCAACGACTGCTTTGATATTCAAGTGTTCAGCGTCGTACACTCACTGACAGATTGAGCCGGCGGTTTTGATTTACTGAGGGACAGTTTAAGGTGTGCGGTGTGACATGTGTAATGATCAGAGTCAGAGTTCATCTACTACATGCTAATTTTAAGATATCAATGTCTCATACAGCAACAAGGGTGCATGGCAAGAAACAACAACACATTTCAAGAAAATTGATCTTTATTTTCAAGTTATAATAAACTTTTTGGCCATCACAAGAAACAACTAGGTTTGTTTGACAGTAATACTATTGTGTCACTGAGATTTGCAGAGAAGAAACAAATGTTCTTTTTAACAGGAAACAATAAGTGAGCCCTGCCCTCTCACTTCCTGGAACAGGCTAAATTATTGATAGCATTTCAGCGTCTGCCAGCCACTGTACACCCACTGAGATGCGCGATGGTCACAATCACAGTAACAGTGAAAAATATATTATTATAATTACAAGGACATTTTATTCATTCATCCATCACCAATAACACAGAGCTGAGGATTAATATATTATCTGGTGAAAAACAAAATAATTGAAAAGAGAAGGTAATTAAAATGAGTTCAACCTTCACAAAACAAAAGCAATTATGTATTTTTGTGAATGTAATGAAAAGAAAATGTTTGCACCAGCATTTAATTATTTCAGTGTGTTTGCAATATTCCTGCTAAAACGATTAGTAGCACCATGCTGTCAAGTGCATGGATGAGTTTATGTGGCTGTGTGTGCAACATGCTTTTGTTGGGGGTTTGCAATGACACAGGAAGGAGTTATTTCAACTGCATTGCCCGAGCCTCTTGGCAGAGATGACTTCCTGTCCTGAGGGGTGGCTGATAGCGGGACACCTGCCAGGAGTTGGCAGGCGTAGAAACCGGCATCCACGTTCTGTCACCACTCTGCGAGGTGCTCACTCAGGAGGGAAGTGGTTTGGGGCTGTGACATACTTTAAAAGGGAGGACGCAGGACGTGACCAAGAGGCAAAATGAAATGAAAGAGGTGGATGAGATGAACCTTTTCCACCACCGAGCTGCTATCTTTGTAAGCAGCCTACTTATCCTTCTGTTTAATGAAATCTTAAAGTCTTTACGGTCGATTCGCTGCGAGTGTAGAGAGGGATAACGAGGCATGAAGTATAAGTCATTCTGCTATGTAAGTCATTTCCAAAGGCCTTTCACCTTTCAGTGCAGGTTACTGTTCTGTATCTGTGTGCTCGCATGTGTTTGACAGCACAAGGACATTCCTGAATGCTACCCCGACCCTGCCAGGACATTTCAAGCTCTGCCTAAATAGACAGTCTCCAGCATCTAAAGCCTTATTAACTCCTACCAGGGAGCGGATTAAGGCCCAGGATCCAGACAGCTAACAACTCTGTATGTGTGTAGTACAAGCTGCTCATCCATTCACAATGCTTTATGACTGGTTAAACTCACAGCCTCCTCCCATTGCCCCCCGAGGAGGTACATTTGCAAAACAAGTGCTTAGATGAAGGGGACAGAAGTGGAAGGAGAGAGGGTAATTGGGGATGTATTTCAAAGCAGATGGAGAAGGAGGAGGGGAGTCTGAGTGGTGGGGTGTTTTGAAAGCGTTTGTGGGTCTTGCTTACGCAGAATCAGTAACGTAAAGTAACACATTCCCACGAAGAAATGAACAAATTCTACTTTTGCAATGGAGGCAATCCAGCCGTAACGCCAAGTAAGGCCAGAGGCGCAAGTGGGACAACAATGGCCCATTTCCCGATCCTTAATCGGACCATACTTTAAAACTTTTAACTCAACACCACACCTGAAACGTTAATTTCACCGGGATTGCTTCATGCAGAGTTGTGACGCTGTCACGTTGACGAAGTCTGTCAGATGGACAGACATAAAAACTCCAGCAGCTGTAAAAACACCTTCCAAAGTACTCAAAATGTATTCCGTTCCTGCTGCGTATCTCAAAGGTCATGATTTGACGCGATGACACGCACACACACACACACAGTCCCACAAGGTGAAAACAATCGCGGCCTCACGCTGCAGCGTCTGTAAATGATCAAACGTCCTATCGTTTGGGTAAACCATCTGACTGGCTAATGGCTGCAGAATGTATTAGCAACGTTATTTATGAGTCTTTTTTCCAGATGAGAAGCACTGAGGCGTTTTGTTATGTGTGTTTTTCATGTGCATACAGTCAAGTGCTTGTCCAAAGTCATTGGTATAACCTTCCACTGGGTGTAAGGACAGGACATTTCACAAATAGAAAAACCCCCTGAAATATTGCCTAAGTGATCACTGTGGTTGGAATGCAACCGTTTGGTGCATACAATAGTGATTTATAATAGTGGAAATACAGTAAATAAATGAGTTGAATTAAAAGAAATACATTACCTTAAAGTTCTTGGTATCACTACTCTGTGAGTCCCATGTTTCCCTCCGAACTAATGGGCCTATTTTGCCCTTGTGAGACCATATAAAAGTTGGCAAATGTTTTGCGACACATTTCATAGTAGGACTATGTTGCACAACCGTGTGCTGCCATTCCAGTTGCAGAATGAATTCCTGTGGTGAGTCTTATTGTTTCAACTTGAACTTGTTTTTGACTAAATAAATAGTTTTCTAGCGAGTAGTTCAGATTCACTTGTTAGTCCATTCCAAAGGCAGACACGATGTATTACAGATATTTACCATTAAACACAGTTAACTACATGTTTGACAAAGATTCCCTTTCCCTTCTCACCGTGGGCCGACTGGAGCACAAAGATCAGAGCCTGGCAGCTCATGAAACCAATAATGAGTCCAACGCACAGCAGAAGCGGTTCCTACTGTACACCTGCCTCCTTCCCCTGCACTCCGTGACCTCGTGTACTCATTAATCCAATGGACTGTCGGATTAACCTTCTAAGGTGTGCGGTGTTATTCACACAACACTTTCAGTGTTTTGCCAGGGAGATTTGAAGCAAGTGCAGTTTATACGCGGTGTTCTTATTTACTGTTGACATTGTGTGGAATAAATCTCAGTGTGAATCCGATGATCAAAGCACACAAAGACGTGAATACTTCTACTCTAGAACAACACACTCATCTGGTTTCATGACGTTGTAATGCTAGCACTTCAATACATAATTACACAGTCACAAATGAACCACAAACATCTCTGGCATGCCTGTCTCACTAACAGCAGGTTGATTGGGGACTAATGTTGCCTCTTTAAGATGAGATGTTGTGAACTTGCTACCAGTTTGCTGAGGTTATATAATGTCTCCAGACAGGTGAGAAAACAAATGAGCGATTAATAGGGTCTCCCTGGAGAGCGCCAACACAGCCGCAGCCAGGGCGGTTCCGGCCAGTCAAGACCAGTGCAGCTGCAGGTGAGGACAACAGGCTTGTTTGGGTGTGCGTGAAGTGCGTGTTTTGGAGTTGCAGATCCCAATCACAGTTTGGGTGTGTGCACACTAAAGTCAACACATAGTGTGGCAGACAAATATGCTCGACACTGTCAACCACAAATGATTACACTAGATCCAGAACGCGATGCATTGGCCACAGAAGGATATTCATGTTTACAGTCAAGAGCCAAAATGTAATCAATAATAACGTATCTTGCCTTCTTTTCAAGGTTTTTGGATGAATACAAGTTGTTGGTGGTATTCACCAGGCACCAAATTATGTGTCCATACATTTTAGATTATATGATATATCATGTCATGCTAATATAATGTCCATAGCATGTCAATAGCTCATGCACTTGGAAATGAAGGAAGTCGGTATCCAGAAGGTTTAGGCTACTCCTTATCACAAGCATTATCAACTGTCATATATTAAAATTGTTGTGTGACTGACAGTCCAAGAAAATCTATTGCATAAGCAATATCACATCCATTAAGGTGCAAAGATTGAAACCCCAGCGCACTGATACAAAAGAGTCCAGCAAGCGGTTTGTATAATATGCATGCTTTGGATTGTAGAAATAAATGAATGTCTTTTTGCATGGTAATATGTATTCATGAACTTTATTTCATTAAAATTTGTGCAAGTTGTGAGCCAAAAAGATGTTGAAAGAAAGGGCTACCCCGAGGCTCATAATCCTTTCTATAATAATCAAGCCTTTTCATATTGGGTCTTTGCTGTTTAATAGTAGTGTTATACAGGATATGAAGGGTGGTTTTTTTTATTGGTTGCCAACAGCTTCAGTTCCTGACAAATTATGCCCCTTTACACTTTCCCAGGGGTTGTTCATGGGGCACAGGAGGAGGTTAAACAAAGTTATACTTTAGAAAGTAAGGTTTCCTAAATTGGGCCCTTGGGGACTCAATTCTGTGAGGCGATAGTAGATGAGACAGATTTTATACTCAGGAGGCCATTTTTGAGGTGTGAAGTTTGTTTTGGGTTAATGTCTTTGGTCAAGTGGTCAATGGCCACATGTTTGAAAGTGACACGCATTGCTGTGAAAGAATTGTGATGCTATTCAGGCAGCAAAATCAACGTTATATTTACTTATACAAATATATTCTACTTAAAAAAAGGTACAGAAACAACACACTTACACAACCATGCAAAACATATACACACAAATGAATGATTCACGTATCACGTAACTTATTCTTACATATCTTATTCTTCCTTCTGCCCGGAGGACAAACGGGACGAAACCATATGCCTGAACATTTCACTTTCAATTCCCAATACCAAAACTTCATTAATTAAAAATCACCTGTAAAAACAAAAAACATGTGAGAAAGGTCATGTTTTTTCCATGTACTTTTAACAGCAGGTGTTATTGTAAATGTCCTCACATTCTTTTCCAACAGCCTGTTTATGAATGTCAAAGCGGTAATACAGGAAGTCAAATAACTCCTTTGAGATTTGTTAAAAAGTACCAAATTGTAACAGTAAGCGATTGTCTTGAAAGCAACGGCGCTCAATGATACACAATGATACACACACTCAACCTGTTGTTCCGTCGCAGCGCAGGCCTGCTGTGAGTACCAGAATAACTCCTCCTGCTTTTATACCCCAGCATTATGCAGAAGTGGAACCCGTGACAGTCAGGCGACATCTCTACATTTTCCCATCACGCCCCCTGCGATGTACAACGCTGAGACACCACGACCACAAACTTCCTCTATCTGTGACAGCAACCAAGAAGAGCGGCCAAACAACCAGGGACCAAGGCCCAACCTTTGGGCGGCTCTGCTTCCTGTGATGAAAATACCGGTGAAAAAAAACAAAATCTGTGAGAAGGTCCAGCGAGTTTCTCCTTTTCAGCTGAATGACGACATTGAAAGAAAACACTGAAGCAACCTTCAGCCACTTTGATGACCTTTTGAAATGGATCGTGGGGCTAACGTTTTCCATCTTATAATGGTGAACAAACCAAAAGTGAAATACAAAATGAATATCCTGCACATGAACATTGACAACATCTTTGTAAACAGCTCAGTGGTCCCTCAATCCAAACAGGCCAAGCATTTCCCACAATTTCCCGAGCTTACAGTAACTGGAAGTGTGTGTGTGTGATGCTTGACAATGTGTTGTATGTCACATGACTTCCCAGCAGACAATTAAACTGAAACGAAAGAGAATCCATGGGGTTATCCAGTTCTAATTTACCGCATGCACACTTATTTCAGGTAAAAAGGCTTACCCTCATACTCAGCATAAACTAAAATATTTTCCTTTAAGCAGTTTGGCACAGTCAAACTCATAGCAGGGGCCTTTCCTCTGCCAAGGAGTCTCCTGTGGGAACGCTCAAAGCCCACAAAAATTAAAAGAGATTGGGCGAGATTACCGTAACAAAAAAGAAGCTTTTTATGCCAGCTGTAAAACCACCACAAGGCAGAGTTTGTTTGTGCGCGAGTTAAAGAGCTCCTGGCAGATGGGGGTACGTTGTTGTGATGACTTCGGCCAAGTTGCTACATGAGATGTAACGTTGTTGATCAGTTTAAGGAGTTTAACATCCTCTATACAATCCCATTTTCTCGGCATCCTGTACCTCTCTCTGTCGTCTTTATTACCCTTGAACTCCATGCTGCCTTCCTGCAGACGGTGGTCAACGCATGTTTAATGGTTAGCTTGACCCTGAAAGGACTGTCAGAGAAAATACAGCATGTCCAGTATTTTGGCAGATTACATGCATGTCACCGCTCCCTAACACCACATTTAGGGCATTACAAAAAGCCTACAGTGTCCTTCCAGACTTTACACATATAGGAAAACTGCATGGATTTGCCAGCAACACTTTGCTTCGCATTCATTGGTTCCACACATTCGTGTCCAGGACATTTATGACTAGTTTTCTGCTGTTGCCCACAATTTATTTGGTTGGTCCCAAAGGAATCTGTCGTTTATTCATGCAGGCACATGTTGTAAGTAAATGGACCAGATGTATTCTGCTCCAATATACTTTGTAAAAAGATTACACAGGCAGGTAATAGGATCTAAACCTCCCATGCAAGCTTCTAAACCCCTGATGCAACACCACCACAAAGGCACAGGAAGTGCACATAGTAGTAGTGAGCCCTCTAGTTTTAGAGGCCTTTGTGTGCTGTGTACCAGCACAATAATTGGAAAGTGTTTCTATCCCTTCAGTCTTGCAAGATCATTCATCCAACGCCCTGCCGTGGCATTTGTATAAATGGGAAAACCAGCAGGAGCTTGAACTTTTACAACCTCAGTACAGATCCAACTCTTTGCTTTTGCTTACATCCCAATGCAAGATGATTACGTTATACGTGTCATCATTACAGCCACTTGGATGGATCCTCACTTACCTTCAGAGCTGAGGAATCCTGTACCAGTGAGCCCCCTAGAGGCAGAGATTTGAGATGCATCCTGTGGCCTGCCCAGAGGGTGTATCTGTCAGACACCACCAACATGCCTGAGCTCTCGAATGTGACACATAGAACAAGAAGCTAGACGCAATAAATGCATTCCTCTCAGAACGGGCAGTTATAAGCGCACATGCAAAGTTCTGTTCATCTCACATGCAGGATCTTTTTTTGTTTCTTTCATGTGCTGCTGACAATCAATTATGATTGGTCTTTCAGCAGCACATACATTGGTTGTTAGCAACAATTGTTGTACCTGCAGAAAGTCAGTGGTTTATTCTAAATGTAATTCTACTTTACTAGATATGCAATAAAATAATCAATTTTCTAACAGACCACTGCAACGCACTTTTTCCGTGCTGCTGTACATGCCCCAGCTGCACGGGATTACAACTCCTGCCTGCGTGCCATGATATATTACGCGACAACTTCTTAATGTGTGCGTTTTCTCACAAATCACGTGCACAATTCTTTTTGCTCGTACCCGTTAAACCTGCTGAAAGGGAAATCAGCATGAACTCGCCTGTGTCACACTGTCTCCCCTTAGCGGACTGGCAAACCGCCCAGACAGCTGCTGCTTGCGTGCCACCACTGTTTGGGTAGATATGAATCTGTGCTCTGGAGAAAACTGGGATGATTCACCAGTGATTGTGTGTGTGTGTGTGTGTGTGTGCGCGTGCGTGTGTGCGTGTCAGTTATAAGCTGAGGCCTTTTTACTGAAGTCTGTCTGCTCTCTCTACCTCATTCTCACTTTTCAGCGGAACTACTTTTAATAAAATCGGGAGGGGTTAGAGGGTGAGGGCTGATTCCTCTATGAAAGATTGCATCAGTAGTAATAAAATGTGGAATTCCACTTGTTTGTTAAATAAAGGGACAGTGACAGAAATCCTGCATCCTTTTTTTTCTTCTCTGTGATCAACAGCCCTGGCTTCGCTGCATTAAATCGAATACATTGAAATAAGAGAGGCAGTAAGGCAGAAAGGTGCTAGATGTGAGCCCTTAACAAAGGATGCAATGGATATTTTGAACCTCATTTCTACAACCTCATTGGCATTAAAGTTCCCATATAAAAGTGGCAATTTATACAGAGGAAAGCCACGTGTGTATCTGTTCTTTTGGGTTGCCGTATTGCTTTGACTGGCAGCTCACAGTGGATGATTCCCCCATTGCTCTTCAGCTCGTGATTATGGTGCAATTAGCACAGCGTCCTTACTTTCCATCAGGGCCTGGGTCGTTAAGGTCAAGTTGGCAACTCTGCAGCCCCAGAGTGAAAGAAAAAACATTAGCAACCTTGAGACTGTACTCAAACACAACATGGCAAACCAAACAAGTGCAAAGTACACACAGCTGACGGCACACACACAGGTTGGGTAGTATGTGCTCTTAGGAATGCCTTCTCCCATTACTTGGCATGTTTTCAAGGCGGTCTGCAATCTGTGAGTGATACATTCATGGAGAATGCTACTGCCATCTAATTTAAGCTAATAAGGAATGTATTCATTTCACATTGCCTTTTTCCAAACTGAAAATCCTTTCAGTCCCGTCAATGTCAACAGATTCACAAAAACATATCCTCAGTTATGTCTGTGAGTGCGTGAAGACTGACGTGTGTGTGTGTGTGTGTGTGGGGGTGGTTTTCAGACGGTTCCTTTTGTAAGAACAACCAAGGACACCTTGTTCTGAGAATGAGTGCTTTCACTTTGAAAGAAACCTCAGAAAGGTTGATGAGGAATGTGCGGGCAACATGTTTTCTGTGAGTGAAACAGAGGTGCAGACCTTCCACGATGAGCCTCAAGGTGATCTAAGACCACCACAATGTGGCCACCGTTCAGAGCCACTGCTTTTACATTATTGAACTGCTTTTTCCATCCCGCAAGATGTGTGCAGAACAAAAAGCAGCAGAACAGAAACACCACATGGGTATTTACCAAAGAAACCCATAGACTTTGCTGCCTAAATGGAGTTTGTCAGTTGGCTTTGTAAATGAAGACTGGTTAATTTCACAACATTTCATCCCACGGCTCATTTCCCTGTACGTCGCTAATCTGCAGTGTCACCATAAGGGTGGCAAGCACAATGCGCTTCATCCTAGCGGTTTGTAGAAGATTAGGGATGCAGGGAACAAAGGCTGCTGTTTTGGCTGACTGGCAAGGCCTTTCATGGGTTTAGTGGTGGCTGCTCAGTACTTTCTGTTCAGCTGTGGGATCTGTGTACCGACAGCTCTGCCTTATTGCTGGGTGACGTACAGACACTCATCGGGCCGCACGCCCCGACTGCCACGGATCTGCTGAGCCTAAACGTCGTCCCTCGAGAGCAATTTCGTCAGACGGCCATCTGCTGAACGCTTTGTCTCCATCACCGTTTACTGTGACCGATCCACATTCGACCTGCAATTCAAAGATATCGTGAAAATACACACCCTGGACAGTGCAGTACGTTTTTTCCTCCTTGTTATCGGTTACATCAAATACTTTTGCACTTTGTTGAAAAATTGGTTGTTTTTCAGGTTGTTACCAGGAGGTGTGGATTTACGATATTCACTTTACGTTGAGGCTCACGCTTCGATTCCAAAGGCTACAACAACACACCAAAGCAAATAAACAATTTGTTGACCATGCCCACCTGAAGAGCATGCTTATTCTAAATTTTCTTCTCAAACGGCATTGATATCTTTGTGAAAGCAAAACATGTGTGTACCCCCACACACACACACACACACACACACACACACACACACCGTTGGATGTTTTGACATTCAACACCAGGTGATACGTCACAGAAAAGAGTGTGCATCTGAATCTCCCGGTAAGACAACTTTTAACCACGTACGCATCACACCAGCCCCTCTGCACGTAGTCACCCGCATTATCCCCCTCCTGCGTTATTGCTGTTTGATGAGGAACTCATCGAGACACCTGCACTCACACAAAAACACAACAAAAAGCTTTTGCATGACATAATCCTCTCAGCGTTGAACTTTTTGCAGACAAGTGTACTTTCACTGCGCTGAGCTCCGCAGCCACAACTCAATGCAAGTGCGTCTGCTTCCTATCCCACAGCGAGAGGCGCGTGAGCTCCCTCGACAAATGTGCCCACAACAAAAAGTGCCGTCTCTGCATGTGTGTGTGTGTTTTCTCTCTCTCTGAGACGTGGTCCATCAGCACGAGTAAATGTTGACATGAGACACCACACATGCACACGTACACAAATGTGCTAAATGAAAAGGCTCCGTATAAGAAACATTCGTATGGAATCCGGTTTGAATGCATTCAAACGGTTAATGAAGAGAAAGATTTGAGTGAACCAACACACCGAACCGATTTATCTGTCCTCCCTTTCACAACTGTTACACTTTAATCACTCAGTAATAGTGGAGATCCACTGTGTACATGGAGGGGGACATTCCTTTTCTCAAGCTTGGCACCAAACATGTGAAACATGTTCTTTCTCCCTCCTGCATCGGTTGCCTGAGTCATCAGTCTTTTAGTTACTTAAAACGGTTTCCCTCATATGAAGGAATCAGGAACAGTGGATGAGACTAGAACAAAATGTCCCAGCCATTCAGAGCTGAAACTAGGTCAGGAAGTTAAGAGGCAAAGCGTGTGCTTCCTCCTACTGGTGGTTACATGAAGTGTGTGTGGCCATTGTGGCTTGAAAATGGTACAACTTGTTGTGGTACACGCTGAATCTGTTTTAAAAAGTAAGACACGTTTAATTTGTTAATCTGCAAAACCACATTTTGGGGTTAGGAGAAG